GAGACCTGCTTACTCTGTGACCTCTGGAGAATTACAAACCTTTCCACGTTAGGTTTTCTCGGCTCTGATTAGGCTTGGTATTAGCACCCAAACACTAGGATCCCAAGCATTACCTAAGAAGTCCCATGAAGATCCTAGCAAAAGACTTGGTATAAGTAAGTGCTCAATAAACGTTAGTCATTTAGTGTCTTATTACCTGATAACCTTCTCCCACCAAGTAGCCAGCACAACCCATAGGGATAAATTTGTCCAGCAGTGCATTCGGAAACAGCAAATACAGGATAATTAAATGTGCTGTTGAAGTCTGATGAGGAAAAATCAAAGTACAAGACAGCTAAAAAAAATAAATAAATAAAAGGAAACCCGAACTGGGAATGGAAGTCAAGCGAAATTGCTTCCTCCTTCGAGGTTTTGGTCCATGAAATAAACTTCCTTCTTGTACTCTCAGCCCTGGTTCTTACTTGTAGCTTCTTGGCTCGGAATCATCTGGGGCAGGGCCTGAGTTGTGAAATACCCTCTCTCTGGTGGCCTGCCAAAGCCTGCTCTGCTAGCACGCAGGCTGACTGGCATTCCCTCATGTGAGCAGACTCCTCACCCTCAGGGCCTGAGTAACTCTGCTGCCTTTTCTCTCCTCAGATGTCTCTGCAGGAAGGCGGGAAGAGAGCCATAGTAAGCAATCCATGTGGTGATTTCCTTTTAAATTTCTTTGGGCAGTTATTACATGATGATATAACAAAAGATGCTAACAGTGAAAAATAAATACACAGTAACTATAGCTTCTCGGGATTAGGTTTGTATTGGAAATTAGCAAAGGAAAGACAAATTCTCTCCTGTGCATTCCTAATTAATAATCCATGGCTCTCTCTGCAGTGTTAATGTGCCAGTGGGACTGAGCTGTTCCAGTGTGTACCAGCTGATGTGGCGTCATGATATCAAATAACCAGTCTTCTTGTTTTAGCTGCATGAGCAGGGTTTAAGTGTCACGAGGTCAGAACATATGGAATTTTTTTAACTAAGAGTAAACAATGAAACCCAATAGCTTAGGTGGGGTAAAGGCCACAAGGCAGCAGTCACTGTCAGAATCCTCTCCCGATCACTAAAACACAAGACTAAGGCCCTATTTAGATCCGAATATTTTTGAGAAACTATAAGACTAAAATCTGCCAGTAGAGCTCAGAATTCTGACAGAATTGTAGACAAACGGAATCTGACAGGAGACGTAACTCTACCAAAAGGATAGCAATAGCCAGGTTTCCAAACTGTCCAGCCCATGTCCTTCCTCTGTGAAGGAGAATAGAGGGAACTGGAATGAACCGGTTCTCTCTTGTTCATCCCCCCTGCCCCACTGGTGTCTCCACGATGTTTCCTGGTATATGGCTTGTAAAGTGTTGTGAGGCTGGGCAAGGTGACATAGGCCTGTAATCCCAACACTTAGGAGACAGAGACGGGAGGATTACTGCAAGTTTGAGGTCAACCTGAGCAACATAGTGAGTTCCATGGAGTGAGACCAGAATCTACAAAAAAAAAAAAAAAAAAAAAAAAAGGAATGGGTGATTGGTAAAAAAGAAATGAAGATCAAAAGAAAGAACGGAAAGAAAAGTAAGTCTCATACTCTAAATGTGCTTTGGATGCACAAGGGCTTAGGGAAACATCTCTGTTTTTCTAAAATAATTTTATACTGTCTGATCCAGCCTGATGAGCTTGAACATGAAATCTAGAATCAGATCCTTTACTTAAGCTCTACCCCTCTGATCTCTGTTCCTCTGAGCCACAATTTCCTTATTTAAAATAGAGAGTCTAGCAGGAATATGCCTCATGCCTGCTGTATTGGTTACTGAACAGTGCTTATCAGAGTTTCTCGAGTATAGTAAATGTTCAGTCTGGCTTGTTATTGAAGGTTCTTGCCTTTGTTGCTATTCTAAGTTGACTAGTCCCATTATGGAATATTCCTCTATCTTAAAACAGGAAATAGGCAGAAAAGAGGTCCAGAGCAAAGTCCAGGCACAGATGCTATAACTGGGTATTTCTACATCCTCTGATGTCCCCAACTACACTGGAGCATCCATTTAATTCTGTGTTGAGGAACTCTCCAGAGGAGACCCCGTGAGGAGTTCTGGAGAATGTGTCAGTATGTAGGTAAACAGGATTCCCTGCCCCAAAATCACAAGACCTATACAAGGAAAGTCCCCAAACACAGCTGTCCAGTTAAATTTGTTGTCCTGTAGAATGTCCTTGCAAACAAAACAGCCCCTCAGTGTAGAATATTATCTCCTTCCTTTTACATCTATCTGTTGGGAGGGGAGGACAGTGAGAGCTGGGGTACTCCTGTGGGGAGAGAGGACAACTTGATGGTGTTAATGGTCCTACCTTGCGAGTTCTGGGGTTCAAACTCAAGTCACCAAATATGGCACATGCCTTTACCCAATGAGCCATCTCATCAGCCCAGATTAGCTTCTTAAAACATACATAAAAGAATGTTCATTTTATCCAGAGCCTGTGCTCATTAAAATATATAGTATTATAGTTTAGTAAAAAAAAAAAATAATATCAGTTTCAATAGAGCTGGCCCTGATGATGTATGCAGGGCCTGGATCTGAAGACCTGAGAGCAGGGGAACTGTCCCTACTCCTTGCTGTAAGCTGCAAGTGAACTAGCCTAGCCAAGGCAGTGCTGGAGAGCTTGCCTTTGGTAGTGACGGTGAGGGAAAGCTGGCGAGCTGACCAACCCAGGTACCACCCAGGCCCAGAACCAGGCCTATGAGTGGCTCAACATCCACTGAATCTATGAACAAACTGTTGGCGCATGTAAAGGAGACGAGCCTACAGATCCAAAACAGCAGGATCTCTAGACACAAGATAACAACACGATATCCAAGGGGAGCCCCAGGGAGAGCCCATTATCAGTGGTGTAGCAGACACCAGAGGTCCTGAGCCAGACCAATGACTCGTGGCAATGAACCCTTGCAAGTCAATATGAACAGACTAAAGGGTACACTGTGTAACTCAATGGGCCACACTACAGTTTCCACAGCAAGATTCCTTTTTTTTTTCTTTTTTTCTATTTTTTTTGGGGGGGGGTGATTTTTGGTTCTACTTTTGATTGTGATTTGGGGGAAGGGTTACAAAGGCAGAGGGCAGATGTAAGGAAATGAGGAGATAATATCTCCCTGAAGCATGAGGACATGGTGGAATATAGCACTTCCTATTCCGCATCCAGAGCATGTGTCTGTCACTACACTGTACGCATGTAGCTGAGCTATGACTACTTCGTAACTTGGCACAAGTCATCTGTTCCTTGAGCTTTGGATTGGATTCCTGAGCTATTAAAAAGATGTGGAATGGCTGTAGACCATTAAAAACCAATAGGTTAAACTAAAAGAAAAGATTGGAAAATCTGTGTGAGAACCCTGGATCTTACACTGATTCCCCCTATCAAGTTTTAGAATAGATGCTTTTTTTCTTTTTCATTCTTTCCATTTTAAAAAATGAATATGTGTGTTTTATGCAAATACTCATGTGGTGTGTGTTCACATGTATGGGAAGGCTAAGGGTCAATGGCAGATGTCATCTTCAACCCACATTTTTCTGAGACAGGGTCTTTTCACTGGACCTAGAGATGGCTAGGCTATCTGGCCAATGAGCTCCAGGGATCCACCTGTCTCTGCCCTCCCCTTCAAAAGGGTCCCACTACCTATGCCAGGCTGGCCTTGAATCTGCAGTCCTTACCTTCTGAGAGTTAGGATTACAGGCCAGTGCTATCATGCCGGGGTAGGAGAATATATTCACACATTTGGAAAAAGACAGTATGTATGTTTCAGTATCTCTCCTAACCATTCCTCTGTTAGGCCAAGCCAAAAATAAATAAATAAATAAATACACCGAAGTTCAACGAACATGGATAATCCCATCAACAGATAAGCCTAGGAAAGTGTGAAGGTGAGGAGTTGAATTGATCCTGCAAGATTCAGAATGCTTTGGGAGGAGGGTGTGGCTCACACTGTGTTCTTTGTGGACAGTGAGTCAGACCTCAGCCTGACACATCTCAGCCTGACTGAGGAGGCATTTTCCAATAGACGTTTCCTACTACAGACCCAGTTGCTGTGGACTTGTTTCAACTCTGCTGTGTGTGTGTGTGTGTGTGTGTGTGTGTGTGTGTGTGTGTGTGTATGCAGATGTCAGATGTGCACGCGCACACACACACACACACACACACACACACACACACACACACACACGGAAGAAGTGTGGGGCTTTTACCTCCAGTACAATAGGAGTTTGAAATTAACATTCTGAGCCAATTGGAAGACAAGCAGAAGAAATATGAGCTCAACCTTTAAATCCCTCTTATTGTCAAAAGAATGACTCTGTGGGGTGTGGAATCTCAAATTGCTTAGTATTTTATTTGTATGTTTTTTTTTTTTTTACTTACCCTACTACCACCACCAAAAAAAAAAAAAGAGAAAGAAAGAAAACAGAAAGGGAAGAAAGGATTTTCTTTTGAGAGCTGACATTAAAAGTGCTAAGTGTCTGAGCCAGGAACATGTCACATGCACATGATTACAGCCTTTGGGTGTGGGGGCCAGAGGGAGTGCCAGTTCAAGACCAGCCTGTGCTACAGTGTTAAGGCTGAGAACTAGAGATAGGATCTTTGTGGTAGAACTCTTGCCTAGCATGCACAAGGCACTGGGCTCAACTCCCAGTACTAAAAACAAAAGCATGGGATATCTGGAAAGTGTTTTCTGTGGGATCTCAAAGTGATGAGCGTTGAAGTTGAAGGGAAGGTGCCTCGGTGAGCAACTCCTGCATGCCTGTAAGGTCGGCTCGCATGCCAGTTCACTGCACAGCAGCCTCTACCGGCCGCAGCCTGCTTTCATTGGCTGCCTTCTCACATTTTTAGGTCCTTGTTGAGGAAGGAGGAGACAGATGCAGATAGTTCATATAATTCTTAATTAATTAATTAATTATTGAGACAGGGTCCACGTAGCCCGAACTTACCTCAAACTCATTAAGTAGTGAAGGATGGCCTTCAACTCCTCAGCTTCAGCGTCCACCTCCCAAGTGCTGACATTAGAGGTATATGCTCCCATGCCTGTCTCTCGAAGCCCTGGGGACAGAACTCAAGGTTCTGTGCAGACTACAGAAGAATTCTGGCAAATGAACCACATCTCCAGCTTAGTTCCTGAATTTTAAACATGCCCTTTGAGGTTCTATTCTAAAGCTATTTCAAAAAGGGTTTTTTTTTTTTTTTATGATTTCCACTCTAATCATTATATTTAGGAACAAGTACACTCTCTTTGTCCTAGCCTCCCCATTTCCTGTGCTGAGGATCAACCCTCGAGCAAGTAGGGCAAAAACCCCACCACTATGGATGAGCAGCACTCTGCTCTTCACGGCTTTCTGGGGGCTGGCTTTGTTCTTTTTCTTTCCTTGAAGCACAAACTGGTTCTCCTTGTTGGAGAACTCTCCACCTCCAACCCTGCCCTCCAGACCTCCTGGACTTCCTTCAGCTCCTCTGCATGGGTTCCTTTTGCTGTTTTTCTTCTCCCGGTGGCCGTGACTCATTTCCACACAGCCCTTACATTATTTCTCACAGGAAACCTTCTCTGTTCCTCCCGTTTTTCTAGGTCAACACCAAGCACAGCTGGTTTTTGTTTGCCTGGTCCTACTCTTCAAGCACCCTTGCCCTGCCCACGTGTCCTGGTGTCTAGCCCAATATGTATGCGTAGTATCTTCTCTGTCTTCTCTCTTGGAAGAAGAAAGGAAGGCAGACAGGATGGAGGAAAGAAGAAAAGGAAAGGAAATAAAGGAGGAAAGAGGAAGAGCTACTACAGAGCCATTTCCTAGCCGTCTTTCCCCTAAACATAGTGTCTTCCTTCTCTTTCTTTCCCATTTTCTCCACAGAAACTCCAAGATTAGTAAAACCACAAATCAACCCTGCCTTAGTGTACACCCTCAGGTTGACCCACGTTTCTGGTTTTATTTGTTGTATGTGAACATGTACATTGGTTGTTTTTCTACACCCTGACTCCACAAAGTCCCAGGTATTTCCAATCCCAATTGTCTCAACAAGAAATAAGAATCGCTAGCGGAAACACATGAACTGTGGACCAATAGCTGAGGAGCCCCCATGGAACTGGACCAGGCCCTCTGGGTAAGCGAGACAGTTGATGAGCTTGAACTGTTTAGGAGACACTAGGCAGTGGGACCAGGACCTGTCCTTGGTGCATGAGCTGGCTTTGTGAAACCTAGGGCCTATGCTGAGACACTTTCCACAGCCTTGGTGCAGGGAGGAGGGGCTTGGACCTGCCTCAACTGAATCTACCAGGCTGGGATGACTCTCCAGGGGAGACCGTGCCTTGGAGGAGGTGGGAATGGAGGGTAGACTGGGGGGGAAAGGCTGGGGGGTTGGAGGAGGGAGGACAGGGGAATCTGTGGCCGATATGTAAAACAACTAGAAAATCATATATATGTGTGAATGTGTGTGTGTGTGTGTGTGTGTGTGTGTGTGTGTGTGTGTATGTGTGTGTATAGAGAAAGAGTGCCAGGATTCTATCATATACATATCAAATAAATGGTGAAATAGCTTTTGTCCAAACACAATTTTTATTTAAGGTTTAAAATATTACAAAAGTTTTCTCTAGTAAATAATGAGTCCATCTTGGTACTGATGTAAAATAATGAAAGAAAGGCAGTAGAAATTATATCATTTGAGGGTGAAGAGAGAAAAGACTTATTTGGGGGAAATCCTGTAGAAAAAATGCAGCCTCTGGATGACTACAAGTTTTATTTGTGTGTATTCCTTCATTAGTAGCAATGCCTAAGGCATCTATTTCATAAGATAGAAAAACATTCTATTTAATTAAAAAGAAGGTTTATTACTCTCCTCACGGAATGCAGAAATTAAAACCAAGATAATCCCAAGATCCCTGGGCATATTTCCCACACACATTTCCTGAAAGATGCTGAAAATCCAGATCAGCATTAGGGCACTTGCTTGACATGGCCCAGCCCTTGGCTTCTGTGTTCACAACACCACACACATGGAAATTCTAAGACATGTAATGCTATAACAGACCACGTCACCCTGCACATGAGGATGAAGGCAATTTAGTTTTGGTTTTGTTTTGGTTTTTTGAGACAAGGTTTCTCCATGTAGTTCTGGCTGTCCTGGAAATTATTCTGTAGATCAGGGTGTCCTCCAATTCAGGGATCTATCTGCCTTGGTCTCAGTAGTGCAGGATTTAGGGGGTGTACCACCATACCTGGCTGAGGATGAAGTGAATTAAAAAAAAAAAACTTTCAAAGAAATTTTCCTTTGCATTCAATGAATTTCCTCATTTTTGTAAAGAGATATTTTCCTTTGTTTTCAATGAAAAGAATAAAGACAAAAAAAGCATAACACAGAAACATTCTGAGGGAAAAATGGTGCTTGTTTATTTGGAATGTTGTCTTCCCTCTCACATTCTCCCCTGGAGAAACTCGCTGTTTGGGATGGGCCATGAGATAGTGGAGCGAATTCAATCACCAGAACCCAAATAAATATAGACAGAGAGAACTGACTCCATAAGGTTGTTCCCCAACCCAAACATACAGATCATGCACACACATCCATGATAATAATAAAATGACATAAAATTTAAAAATTTTAAAAAAAAAGGAATAGAGTGCAGGGATGACTGGTTTCAGAATGGCTGGTCTCAGAACAGCGTCAGGACATGAATGGCACAGAGATAAGACCATGAAAGAAGTTTTCAAAAGTTAGAATGACCAAGTCCAGACGAGACAGTAGGGGAGATTTACTTAGGCATTGAAGAATCGTACTGGGCAATAAAACTGACAGATCCTTATTCTGTTGTCCCATAAGAGACCAGGCCACTCGGAGACACTAATGCTAAGAACATTTAAAGCAAGTTATAGGAAATACCTCTTCACCTGCTGGAATTCACGCTGAGGAATTTTCAGACACAGGCAGCTGTAAAATCAATCACTGAGTTGGATTTTTTTCAGATGGGGCAGGATAATGTATGATCCACTCCTGTGGCTAATTGGAGAGGAGAGAGTCAATCAATTCGCTTGCCTCTAGGAGATCACAGTTGATTATAAGCAGGTCAGCAAAAGGATGTACCCCATAGTTGATCAGGATAATTAAAGACTGTTGATCCATGCTTACAAGTTCTAGAAGAACAGTGGATGTACCAAATGACTAGATCCGAGATTCCAAATATTAATTGACAGAAACAAAAAAATTAAACAATACCAAAAAAATCAACTCTAGGAATTAACTACCTTCCTAAAATCATTTTTGTAGCATAAACATCCCCTGGTAATATAGATAAGAGGTGATCTTTTGCTGTGTTTCATGTTTTGCTGTGCGGTGTTGGAGTTCAGGATTGAGCCCGGGGGTCTTGTGCGTACAAGACAAGCCCTCTCCCGCTGAGCCACATCCCAAGCCCTGATTTGCATTTCTCAAATCTGATTCTCTGGCCAGCCTTCTTGAAGTGCACCTAACAAATACGAAAACAGTTAATACAGAGTATGACATTTCTCTCCCGAGGGAGAGTAGAGTCAGGCTGAGAAAGCTGCAAGTGCAATACAGATGTCATTAGGAAGGCGACGTTAATTTTGAGGTTGTCATGTTGAATGTCAGTAAGAAAGCCCTCCGATAAAGTTATCAAGGTTTGGATACAGCCTTTTTTTAAAAAGCTGTTATCTTCTCCCACCTGTTTATCTTTCTCTCTCTCTCTTTTCCCTTTCTTGAAAATGGGACTCATTTGCAGAGCTCCGCTGCGCTGCCTACTATTACAGATGGGTGAGAGGCAACACTGTGTGTGCCTTAGGCATGCTCCCAATGAACTTCTGAGAGAGCAAAGGCACGTGAGACACAAGCAACACCTGCATTTCCATTCGGGGTAAAACACTGTGCACAGTATACAGAGAAGAGAGACTTTGCTCTAAAAATTACAATACGGTAAAATAAAGTCCCGAAGAAGTCACGGTAAAATCTAGTCTTTGAGTAAATTCTCAAAAGCATGATAGCTCTGAAAAGGCAAAGTTGTCAGCTCTTGAGAACCAGGAAATGTTGCCACCTCTAAGAGACAATGGCATGTCCAGTTTTATTATGGATGTTGAGGAGAAAGTCAAAGAGAAGACAGAAGATGTCTCAAAGCATCTTGGAGCAAACGATGTGGACTCAGTAATAGTAAAATTTGGAGTTTAAGAACATTTTTTTCTCTGGGCGTATGGCACATGTCTGGAATCTCATCAGTCAGAAGGATAAGGAAGAAAGATTGCCACAAGTTTGAAGCTACATTGTCAAGTAACCAGATGAGCCAGGGCTACAAAACAAGACTCTGTCTCAAAACCCAAAGAAATAAATTCTTATTCTGTAAGCCTTATTTAAACAATGTCTGGATCATCTCCACTAAAAAGAAGTTGATACTGATAAGTGTGTGTGTGTGTTGGGGGGGTATATGTGTATGTGGTATGTGTGTGTGGTGTGTATATGCGGTGTGTGTGTGTGATGTGTGTTTCTCTGTGTGTGTGTTTGTGTGGTGTGTGTGTGGTATATGTGTGTATGGTGTGTGTATGTGGTATTGCATTGTGGTGTGTGTTTGTGGTATGTGTGTGCTTGTGGTATGTGTGCATGGTGAATGTGTGTGTGTAGTGTGGTGTGTGTGTGTGCATGTGGTGTGTGTGTGTGTGTGTGTGTGTGTGTGTGTGTGTGTGGTGTACTTTTGTGTGCTGATGAGCTTGTTCTGGAAGACATGTCTACAAGCCAGAGAGATAAGTATTAGGCACCTTCCTTGGCTAGTTCTCCACCTTATTTGAGTTCTGTCACTGACTTTGAAGGCCACCATTTCAGCCCGACTTGTTTGTGAGTGAACCCCTGAAATCCACTTGTCCCACCTCCCAGGCACTGGGTTTACAGACATGCACTACCACACCCAGCTTTTATGTGGATGCTGAAGATCAAAACTAAAGTCTTCATGTTCACACAGCAAGCACTTTGCTCACTGAGCCTTCTCCCTGGCCCTAATATTGTCCGATGTCTTAATGCTACTGTGAGAGTTTTGATGTTCGACCTAGCACTGTGTAGAAAGTTCTAGAGGTCGTTCCAGCACCAATAGACTCCTGGCTGCAAAAGACCTTTATGGAGAGGGCGATCTGGAGCCAGAGCATTATGATCAAGCTCTAGCTCCGGCTCTCACTAGCTTGATTTTCCTATAGAGATGGAGGACATCGGTCAGTTTACTCACCCAGCATCCATCCATTCATCGTTAGCATGAACACAGCCATGTCTCCTACATCATAGAATCATTGTAAGTTTAAATAACTACAAGGCATCTGCCACCAGGCCTGACACATAATAAGTCCTCATTATTGTGATTTGTACTCAGTCTCCAGAAAGCCAGGCTATTCGAGAGAGACAAGGACAGTAAAGGGACACCAGCTTTTATGGATTTGAGCACAGGAGTCAGATGTCTTCATTGTATATTTGCCTCATAATTCAACTCCATCCACTTCTTAGATCTCCTGTCTGACTGGTTTGCCATGGAAGACTCCATTCCATGACCTAGATAACGTCATTCCCTGCATTTGTTCTAGAATCCTTTTTAGGCCTAAGGTTAATTGCCTCTTTCCTTTCCCCACTAACCCTGAACTGGATAGAGTCATCCTCTGCTTAACTATCAACATCTTGAAGGCTAGCTCCCCAAATCTGGGATAGGCACTTCCCCTGCATCCACTAACAGCCACCCAACTTTCACTGGCCATCTTCGGTTGTCGTTTTTGCATCTGCAGGAGACTTTAAGCTGCCCATGTCCGGAAGCTGGCCTTGCTCTTGCATTGAGCTCTACTTCTGTACTGTTCAGTGGTCCTGCATGAATGAAAGAAACAACCAAGATCACCAGAACAGGCTCTACTACCTTGGGACGTGTTTTTCCTGTTTGCCTGCTTTTATTCTACAAGACCTCCTACTGATCAGAGTCTGGCCACATGAAACTGAGGTCTTGACCATTATGTTAAAAGCCATCATTACAAAAGCACCAAAATTGGAGCTATATGGGAATAACTAGTCTCCGTCTTTCGGGAAATTAAAACTGAGAAAAATCTAAATTGCAGTATGAATTAGGAAAAGTGCAAAACTAGGCAAAAACAAGGGAAACAATTCCCATGGAGTGTTTAGTTTATAATGAAAGATTCAAATAAACTTGTGTGGGTTTTTTAAATTTTTGTTAATTGAGTTGCAGCGTTTCTATTTGTCTCGTAGAATGAGCAAAATAGTCTTGACCCTATAATCAGGAAAGTACATATAGCATCTACTTGTCTTTGTGCTGGATGGTCAGAATGAGGTAAAACATTATTAGAAGGTGAGGTAATGAAGTAAGCAGCACCTCAAGGTGTTCTGTCCTCCTATGGTACCCAGGCTTGAAAGATGTGATTAGCAGAAACAGAAGCATAGCACAATCCACACCTGGGATTCAGCTCTTTATTTCTCATTGTCAGTGCAAGTTGAGTCTGCATGTCCAGATACATGATGATAACAGCAGCAATAAGTGCCCTATGTAAAGCAAGAACACTGTTTGGAGCCCCCTGTGAGGGTTAACCCAGCATGATTTCATTTAACCATGCTAGAATCTCATGAGCTACGTAATGCTCTAACAGTACACAGCAGTAATTTGAGGTGCAATGATTAAGGAACCCATCCAAGGCTGCATAGCCAACAATCAACAGTGTCTGGCTCTAAACCCTGCCTTGGTCGTTTGACGGCAAAGTCTTTTTCTTATCTTCTGCTCACCCATACTGCCCTCTGCCAAAGTCAGACACTGAGGAACTTTGAGGAAAATTTGAGATCTGGACCTAGAGACCAACTTTAGTTATTGCTCATACCAGTTTGAGGAAGTCACCTCATCTCTCCAAATCTCTATTCTGTCTTCTATCATATGAGAAAATAGTATTATCTGCCCTTCCAAAGTTTTCAAGATACTCAAGGGAGATAGCTCACATACTAGAAGTAAGAAAATAGGAATGTGCTATACAAACAACAGCTGATAAGATTTATTTAGAAGAACAGCCTCTTGGTGGAATTACATGAATTTAGTTGTTATTTACAGAACACTTTTGTGTAACAATCAAAGATTAGTTCCAAACCAGTATGATTAAGAGATATAAATGGTGGACTTTGTCCACAGAGACAAATGGGCCTGTTGTGGAGGATGTGGTTGTCTGTCCCATATCCATACATTCTGGTTATTAGCAACAACATAAAAATATGACACATGCTAAAGTTTCCTTCCCAAACCTAGTTGTAGTTATAATAATATCTGCTTGCAGATTAGGCAGAAAGGAGTGTCAGGGATTTCCTAGATATTAAAAATTATTTCAAGTATCATAGCACATACCTATAGTCCTAGCACTCAAGAGGCAGAGGCTGGAGCATCTACAGTTCAATGTCATCCTCAGCTACTTGACAAGTTCAAAACCAAATAAATAAATAGGCAAACAAGAAAACAGGCAAAAAATGTTTTCATCTAAAGAATGGGCCAGCAGCTGAATATTTGCTTGTTTTAAAAAACTGATTATGATTGGCGGTGGTGGCACATGCCTTTAATCCCAGCACTCGGGAGGCAGAAGCAGGTGGATCTCTGTGAGTTTGAGGCCAGCGTGGTATACAGAGTGAGTTCTAGGACAACCAGAATTATCACACAGAAAAACCCTGTCTTGAAAAACCTAGGGAAAAAAAAAAGACTGATCATTTACAATATTACAAAATTATGCTTTATGGACTATAGACTATACATCTATTTTTCTATTTAAAATTGAAGCACAAAAAGATTTTACCTATTTCTATTACAGGTTCAAAGCTATAGGAAAAATGTAGTGTCACAAGGTAACTTGAAGAAATGTCAGTTATCAGATTTTTCTACATGTGTATAGCATCTGAACTCTCACTGCTTTTGATGACGTAAAGGAGTGCTCTTGACTACAAGAATTTGTTTTCACTCCTGTTTTTGTTTTGCAGCCAAGCACGTTGTTGAGTAC